CCTCATGCCCACTGCCCTGGGCCGGGGGTCAAGCAGGGTCCAGTGGGGCCTGCCTGCAGCCCCTCAGACCCTGGAGCACAGAGACACTCAGGGGAGACCCAGCCCTCCCCCTTGCCCAAGCCCTCAGGCCCAGATGTTGGGAAACGAAGGCAGGAGCTTGCGGCAGAGCAAGACACTGGGGACTCAGAACTTGTTCTTTTCTCATGACCAAGTGTCACTTGTCACGAGGCTCAAGCAGCCATGGTGGGGTGGGGCAGCGGTGGCCTCGCACAGATGTCGGGAAATGACTCAAGGAGAAGTTGGTGGTTTCTCTGTGAGTCCCAGTGAGGCCCTGTGTGACCCTCCCGGCCAAGCCCTGCTGGGCTCGGGGGATAAGGGAGGAGGGAGTCGGCTCAGGCAAGACCCAAATGAGAGGCCCACTGCTTCCTGCAAGTGTCTCTTTCTCTGTGGAAGTTTGTTCACTTGAAACTGTGCCGGCTCCTTCAGCGTCTCCCTCTGACCTGGCAGCCGGAGGGAGGGAACGCTGCTGCCCTCACACAGCGCACCTAAGAGGCCCCGGGTTCCAGTGGACGCTTCCTTTATTTGAAAAGAAGGCCCTGGAGCCCGAAGGCCGCAGGCCCAGCCTGTGGCTCCTTAATCATGCATTTGACTGGGTTGATCCAGAGGGACAAAGCCAGGCCTGTGCAGGAGACGCCCCGAGGCTGCCCTGGGACGGCACTGGGACCCTTGGAGGCTGTCAGAAAGGATCCCTTGTCTGCAGGGCAGCCTGGGCAGGACGAGGGTGGGGATGCCCTTGTGCTCGGTCATTTCCTTTCTCTTTTTGAATACATGCTGTAAATTCTGCAGTGGGAAGAGGTGGGCAGGGCTTCCCATGGAGGGGAGAATGGTGGAGCCTGTCACCTAGGCCCTGTCCCGGCCCTGGGCTGTGCAGCTGGGTGCCCGGTGGCCAGGTCCCTCCCCTCTGGCTCGTCCTCCCTGAGCAGGGGCCACAGTAGCACACCTAGTGTCCGCCAAGCCTGCAGAGGATGTGCTGTGGCTGCTCGGACCCTCCCCACCATGGAGCAGGAGCTGGCGCGGGAGGAGGCTGCTCTCAGGGCCGGCCATGGCACATGTGTCCTCGCACCTATGACAACATTGTTGTTAACAAGTCTGTGGTGTTTTTAGTTAAAAAAAGAAATTCCTCATGCTGTGAATTAGTGGTTTTGTCTTCAGCACAAGCTGAAAAGGTCCAGTGGGTCAATCTCCTGAGCATGAGAAGGCCCAGAGGGAGGGCGTGTAAAGAGGAAAGGAGATCTTACAGAGTGCCCAGGCTGTCACCTTCACCTTGGCTAAAACATTCCAAGATGAGTGGCTTGCCTTCTGTCCCTGCACCAGTTTAGCAAGGTCGAAGCAGGTCCACCAGACTCCATGTGGGGCTGTAAGTGATGTCGGGGTGTCCTGCCACAGCTCTAGGCCCCCCGAGTGGGACGAGCATGTTCAAGGACCCTCTCTGCCTTGCTGCTCTGCTCCTGGCTGTGAGCAGCCTTGGGAGGCTGCGCCTTGTCCTTTCTGTGTTGCCCAGTGCGTCTCCCCGCTCAGAGCTCCAGGGCAGGGCAGGACCTGGCAGCGTGAACATGTTCAGGAGATCTGTCCCCGCTTGGTCTTTGGCAGGGGCTTCTGGTGCTGCTGCAATAGTGGAGGGCCAAGCATGGGTGACCCGATGGGGCAGCTGCTCCGCCCCCAAGAGCTCCCACCTCCCTGGGGAGGGTGGTGTTCCCACAGCCCCAGCTGGAGAGATCAGCACACCTGCCTACCACCACCCCTGGATGGTGAGGAGCGGAGACCCGTTCTCAGAGTTTCCACCCTGAATCTCACTGCACTCACGGGAAGGCCTGGGTGGACAACTGCATTCTGCATGGGCAGTTCAGGGACGTGTGGCCCCACTGCTTGCATTCCCGTAACCTGGGGGCTGGACGGGGCAGGAGGAAGCTCCTGGTACACAGGAGCTGGGACTCTGGCTCAGCAGGGCTTAAAGAAATTACTGGAAGGGCCTTGGTCTGCCTGTCCCTCCTGCCAATTTCCACAAAGCTTGGCTGGACATCATTCTGAAGGCAAAGGAGTCACTGGCCCACTGTGGGCAGAGTTGGGCACAGGCCACAGAGGGACAGCCCCTGGCTCAGGGCCTGCATGTGGATGGGACTTCCCGCAAGCCCAGACATGGTCTCCATCTGTTCCGTCCAGCCTGGTGGCCGCAGAGGAAGTCAATTCCAAGTGCTATGGACTCTGATTCCTGTAGCCTCTGCCATGATGCTGGGTGGCCCTCAGCGTGGAGCTAGGGTGGCCCTCAGTGTGGTGCTGGGTGGCCCTCAGCGTGGTGCTGGGTGGCCCTCAGCGTGGAGCTAGGGTGGCCCTCAGTGTGGTGCTGCTGTGGCCTCCAGTGTGGTACACAGGAGCTTGGGTCCCCAGGCCCTGGGACGGGGTGTCCTGCCACAGCTCTAGGCCCCCCAGTGGGACGAGCAGGCTGCCATGGATGTTCCAGGACCCTCTGCCTTGCTGCTCTGCTCCTGGCTGTGACCACTGGCCCACAGTGCTGGGGTGGTCTCCAGTGTGGTGCTGTGTGGGCCTGAGCGTGGGGCTGGGGTGGCTCTGAGCATGGTGCTGGGTGGCCCTGAGCGTGGGGCTGGGGTGGTCCTCAGCATAGTGCTAGGTGGCCCACAGCATGGTGCTGGGTGGCCCTCAGCGTGGTTCTGGGTGCCTTCCAGCGTGGGGCTGGGGTGGCCCTGAGCATGGTGCTGGGTGGCCCATAGCATGATGCTGGGTGGCCCACAGTGTGGTGCTGGTGTGACCCTCAGTGTGGTGCTGGGTGGCCCTCAGTGTGGTTCTGGGTGGCCCTCAGTGTGGTGCTGGGTGGCCCTTAGTGGGGTGCTGGGTGGTCTCCAGCATGGTGCTGTGTGGCCGACAGCGTGGTGCTGGGTGGCCCATAGCATGGTGCTGGGAGACCCACAGTGTGGTGCTGGGTGGCCCTTAG